CGATTTGATAAGATGGAACTGGGGTCGATGATAACGCATATAATTGATCTTGGTCGTGTAATTCCTTAGAATAAATTGCATATGAATATCGTCATTCAAACACGACAATTTATAAAATTATAGAATAAAATTGATTTTAAAAGTGAGAAATATCGATCGAAATAATCTGTTTCTTTTTTTTTTTTTTCTATTTTCTTTTTTTAGCTTTTTTTTTTGTACAGTTTTCATAAAGTATGATCATAAAGTTTTTTGTTTTTTTTTTAAATTTCTTTTTCAATAAATCACAGTAGTTCCGTTTCGTTTTCCCCCGATGTTCACATGCGATTTATATGTATAGGATTCATTCAATCGGATTTTATACTGGCCACTATTTTCAGTTCCCTCTTTTTCCCGCCAATTCAGTTCTGCGTCGTTTCTCGTCGTGGACGTTTGTAACACTCGTTTCCCAGCAACCGACTGTGATAAAAATTTTCTCTTTTTTTCTCGATGCAAATTACAGATTCCTACTTCGTTTTAAAAGCATATATTCGTACGCATCAGCCATGCTCATTTTTTCTTCGTAGTATAATCTTTCATGCTCTGTATGTTCTTTTTCATTTCTCTCTTTCTCTCTCTCTCTCTCTTTCTCTCTTTCTCTCTTTTTCATAATCACGCATTACTTTAACCTAAAAACGTGTGTTCCTAGTGCTACTGTGATACCACGGTTTTTCCATGGAAACCATATACACGATTTATTCGAGCAGCACGAATTTTTTCATCGATTCGATCCATTCTTTGTCTATTAGTTAATATGCTGTGAAATTCGAAACCTCTTAGTATTCCAATTTAAAATCTAAAAGACGTCATCAAAAGTGACGTTTCTTCCTCTCGTCTAAAATTAAATATTTAAGACAAAGCGTAGATCGTGCTCGAAACTTCGATACAACTCAGAATCCATTTCTTTTGTTAAATGCCTTCAAATTGGTCTACGAGAATTTAGTACGATTATTGCGTATATGTTTTTCTCGCGCGTATGCGCTATCCAATGGGGAAATATTCGATCAATTATTTCGTCGTTTGCTTTCATTTTTTCCGCGGGAGGGGAGGGGGATCAGAGGCCAGCGAGGTAGGCATATTTTAAAAATCCTGTAATATTCACACGGTGGTCTCGATATTGGCAATGGCGTATTGTCAACAAATACTGTCCTTCCCATAATTTTCCAAATACATTTCTTGTGGCGTGGCAAGATTATATCGTCCGCTTAAACGACTTCCGGTTAAACCATTATTATGATGAGTGTGATTCACATGGAGATGGTTCACGTTCAAAACGACATTCTTTTTTTTCTTTCGAGCTTTATGTCGATAGAGGCAGTACTTGAGGCAACCAGTAGCAAGCAACAGGATCAGAAATATACCTAAAGCACCAGCTCCTACGGCCACGTAGAGTAATGTTACACCGAAACGGTACGAACAATTGGTTTCTTCCTCGTCGAAACCGGAAGGGCAATGACGGATCCCATCGCACCATAAAACAGAACTTATACACGCCTGAATTTCGGGGCACCTATAAAATAAAATTACGTAACAAACACACCACATATTGTTTTTATATCTTTATATCTAGAATTACTTGAACAACAGGGATCAACCTTACCGATAAGGACAATCCTCGTGAGGCAGTATCGTGAAGACATTAGGCCCGATGCTAGAACTCGGAGATCTTTTAGAAATAGCCATCCAAGTGACGGCATAAAATCCAGGCTCCCTTTGAAGGAATTCGACGACGAAGCTCCTCGAGTGTTGCGTCATGGCGACAGTAGCGTTAATGGCGCTATAGTTCCAACCACCAGAGAAAAAATCCACCGTTCTTGCAGTGTCGACACCTACCTCGGGACAAATTACACTACGATCCTTCGTGTTGGCCGCCGAATAAACGACAATTCTATTCAATGTCGTGCATTCCTCGACGTTATCCAATGTGATACCGTACCCAGCCGTTCTTAAATACAAATAATTAATTCGCGCGTCCTCCGGTTCTATTAACCAAGGTTCGTTCACACATTGGGTCGCGGTCAGATCTTCCGTGTTGGTTAGAATTTCTTCCACGGCGGCAACACCGGGAATTACTCGCGGTAACGGACTTCTGAGGGAAATTTCACCACTGGTCCCTCGTAACCGTCGCTCCTCGAGCTTCGTCGAGCAACCTTGCTCACTCGTCTCCGCCCCCAGCGCAACGAAACGATATTCTCCCTCGAAGTAAAAATCCCTGTAATCCTGCGTGACGTTCATCAAGGAAACCGTGAATCGGACCTCGACCACATTTGATGTCAACGTTCTCAGGACGATCCTGTCGCTCACGTTCGAACACAGGCAATCTCGAATCTGAATGTACAAACAATTTCATTTTTATTTAATAATTTATTTATTTTTTTATCTCATTTCTTTTTCCTTTATCAAAAATCTATCATACCAACTCCACTCCCTGCCAAGGATACTCGGCAACGATCAACTCCGCGACGCCGAGCCTCGTGGAATCCCCTATGCGTCGATCGCAAGTCCATCTATTGACCAACGGATCCACATAAGAGGAACATCCTTTATCCCCAAACGAGGCCTTACTTATCGACAGTTCTATCCTGTGATCCGGCTCGGCCTCGAAACGATATACACAGCTAACGTTCTGCGCACCGCCACGGCCATAAAAGAATACACTTTTCGGCGACGCGAATTTCCCTGCTTTGGCAGGGGGTGAGAGCAGAGTGGAGGAGGACGAAGAGGA